TTCAGACCTTGAAACCAGCTCACTGAGGCTCCTTTGTGCTTCCAGCGGTCAGCTGAAACTGGACTCAGTGTAATCATTGTAAATAAGGAACCGTCATCATCAGCCCCAGCCTCCCTGCCGGCTGCTACAACCTCCCCCCCCCCAGCTGACTCACTTTCCCATGAACTGATGCAACTGGCAGCAAGCTCGGAGTGACTGGTTTTATCTCACAGACACGGTTCTTTTTCTTCCCAGGAAAGTAAAGCCGTTGTTTTTTGAGTCATCTTTCTCACTAGATGTTTGGTATTGATGTTTCATGCCACTGTGCAGCACATCTTTCTTTATAGCATTAAGCACTTTGTTTTGGAAAGTCAGAAAAGAACAGTACTGCATAACTGACACTGCATCTCAGGGAAGTCTGCCCTGAAGGACAAAATTCCTCTGCGGGGAGAGGTTGAATGGAAAAGTTGAAATGACTTCCCCAAACAATGCCCCAAAGACATTCTTGTAGGCAAAGAACGGACACAACAGAGAACTCACTTCTGATTGGTTGACAGGTCACAGTGAGCACACGATTGCAGTTAAAGATAGCTGTCACTGGAGAAACAACATTTTTTGACAAACGTAAAACACCATATCTTTTCTTGTTTTTACGACATATGAGCAGATAAAGATGCACAATAATAAGATCCACACCCATCCACAGGGCAAGTGGAAGTTAGTTGTTTCTTTTGTTTGTTTAGGTTTCTGCCTTTCATTGATAGGACAGCTGAAGAGAGACAGGAGATTCAAGGAGGAAACATTAGGGCAGACATACATAAAAAGGTTGCATGGCAGTCTTAGGTAATGGACATAAAGAAGGGACGAGGTTGAAGTGAGTTCTCATCACATGTTTGACTCTATAGCAACCCCGTGTGAGATGTTCTGCCACCCAACTGCATAAGAACAGGATAGAAGAGATGCACAGCTGAATAAAACAGATAATAACCTCAAGCTAACCCCTGACTCAACCAGGTACCACACTGCTCTGACACCCACCCGCATCCTCCCTGGCCCACCAAACACCCTGCTCTAACCCACATTAGACAACCTATTGATGCAATAAAACTCTGCAGTTGTATCGAAGCAGCCAGATCAGGAGACACCATCGATTTCACTTTCTTTCCTGGATCTGTCTGCCCACATGGTCTGATTTGTAAAAAATCTAATGAGTAGTAACACCAGGATCATGTCCGCCTACAGACTGCCTCATTGAACCGTTGAGAGGGCCTGGACAGACTCCAGTATGTTGGCAACAAATCCAGGCAGCTGCTGAGTCAGAGTGTGCTCTGCTGCTGGCTTCCCTCTTACTACCGAGTGTCTGTCTCCCTCAGGCTGGGGCTCATGCTGCACAGAGCTAGCCTCTGGCGTAGATTCCTGTGCTGGCTGTAACAAGGTGTGATCTCTAGCTGCTGCTGTGGAGTAGACAAGTCAGGGACTGGCAACTGCACAAAACCTAAATGCATGTTGGGAGTTGAGTTGTGCTGCAGGATTTCTGTCTTCTTCTGTGAGGACTTACTTGATCTGTACTTTTTAGAAATCAGAAAACTGAAAATCTAAAGGACTCTCTCCTCAAATTTATTAGGAAATAGATTGAGAACATTTCAAAACATTTCCTGGACAACCATCATGAGTAAAAACCTGGAGCAAAGACAAAGAGGCAGAGCTGAGGGGGGTCTTTCTTGTCTTTCAGCCTCCTTGAAAACGGCTAGAACTTACTCATCTGTTGTCAAATCAGCCACACCCCTAATTATGATGATATGATAAAATAATAATGGATGAGTTATTTTTTTTTAAATCCTCCCTGTACAGTGTGTCCCTGTAAATATGGGATCTATTTAGATCTGGACCAACTTTTCACCAGGCTGTACTGTACATGTTTAATTCTGCTGTCATATTAACATGGGTCTTAATATATTGTAATACGTGGGGTGGCTGTGGCTCAGTTGGTAGAGTCGGACCTCTCTCAACCGGAAAGTTGGGGGTTCGATCTCCAGCTCCTGCAGCCACATGTCCGATGTCTATGAATGTGCATGAATGGGATTAGTTAATACTGATGGTCACTTTACAGGTGTAACATGAGGTGAACAAGCACTTTGAGAAGTCAGAAGACTAAGAAGTGCTTGACAAACTCAAGTCCATTTACCATTCTTAATGGAACTTCCAGGGTTTTTGCGGCGAGCCTCAAGTAGACACTTGAGGAACTGCAGTTTTTAGGACTTTGCACATTGGCTTCATTTTTCATCATTGGAGGCTGCCACTTGTTCATAAGCTACTGATGTTTCATGTATCATGTATGTCATATTTCATATTTCCTACAGTATTAATTTAACAGGAAATGGCCGAATTTGAATCAATTGAGCAGTTAAAGAGGAAAGCCTTCATAATTCACACATAATTAAGAATGGAGATGACCGCTGCAAAAAATGTTAAACTCTCTCAAGGTTATACTCCGACAAGGTCTAGAAGACTGAAGGTTAATTTGAGGGTTTCAGCCTCTATTTCCCTCATGGTATCTGTATCATCATCTTGATGTGTGGATGTGGGTCTCATAATAAAACACATCATTACTGTTCTGTTTGTGGTCCATCTGGCTCCATGTGTCCAGCTCATTACTGAGTTGCAGTCAGACAGTCTATCTGCCATCGCACCCAGTGACACAACTATTCACCAGTCAGCTCTGCTTCAGTCACTTGTCCTGCTGCTGCTGCTGGGGATATTAACAGATTACCCATGAGCTGACTTTTCATTGGCTGAGCGCTTTATATTTCCACAGCTGTAAACAGTTTCTTTTTTTTGCAGTAATGGCACATGTTTTTGTAATATTTGTGTATTTTACACTTCTGTTGTTGCTTCTGTGGTGTGCAATGACTCCAGAAAGCTAACAGGGTGCGTTAATGTGGAGAATAAAGGTATTATTGTAATCCATGAATGAGACAGATGGCTGGAGGAGCAGATTTTGCGGGGTTTGATTAATGACCAAATAAGTGGACGTTAGTCTGCATGACTGAAGGACACCGTTCAGTGTTGTGGTCCTGGTCTTTGTTTTTACCGGCTGCAGAGGTCCCTCCCTCTTACTCCAAACTGTGCCAGCAGTCCTGCCGGTGTGGAGAGCGCAGCCATCTGCCACCATGAGTGTGTGTGTGTGTGTGTGTGTGTGTGTGTGTGTGTGTGTGTGTGTGTGTGTGTGTGTGTGTGTGTGTGTGTGTGTGTGTGTGTGTGTGTGTGTGTGTTTGCCAGCACAGACAGTGGAGGGATATATTTTGAAATCAGAACTTGTTGTGTTGGATTTTTGACCTTGCTTGGACTTCTCAAACTAAACGGTTTATGGAGTAGTTACCAAATGATTTCAGTAGCTTTGTGTATCAAAACCATTCTTCCTGCAGGGTTGGATAATTTGACGACAACAGGAATATACAGTATTTAGTTTTTTCAAAGGTGAAGTTCTGGAGGGGGCGGGTGCTTTTAATGCCATTATTAGAGAGACAGGATTGTGGTTAGAGTTGGATATCAGGGAGAGAGAGCTCGGAGAATAAACTTGACTTTGACTGATGATTTCAATCAGTGTTGATTTGTAGCTGTTTGTCTTGAGGAAACATCAACTCAACTCATACAATATTTCCATTACATTTTCCTGGTAAAAAAAACAAACAAAAGATAATTGCAATTTTCATACTTGATAGTAAAGACCGAAGCGCAGACACTGGCGAGTCACACTGGGTCAGCCGAATGATCATTTAGAACGATACTTAGCTTATCTGACTGTTGTGTGTTTATCAGGACACTGAGATAATGCTGAGGATGGGTCTGTTTAATCCTCTGGCTTCTGTCACTGTTTAGCTGATGTGTGTGTGTGTGTGTTTGTATACGTTTATTATCAAAGGGTTTTCATTTCCTCACAGACAGATCGACAGAGAGACAAGAGGATGGAGAGGAGATGAGGCTGTGTTTCTGTCCTTGTTGGTAGACTGCTGATGTCTGTCATAGAACGTAAAGAGCATCAGATTGTGAACTTTGGATGTCTCGACTGTATCTTCCTAATCTTTTATTTAAGAATAAGCTGATGATAACATCATTTGATTTCCCCAGAACAGAGGGCCTAGAAAGACACGTTGCATAACTTCAATGGTTTTGCGTTAACCTTATCTACTTGCAGCAAAATTGAAAACAGTCATCTCTCGCTTACCTCTCTTGGCAGGAAGGATTTTAAAGTGAAGTTATATAACAACCAGTAAAAACATGAACTATTGTTTTTAGCAGAAATATGACAACAGAGATGCTCAACTTCAACCTCTACTGAACACAATCAGTCCTCCCTGTTTCATCATTATTACTGACCTCGCAGCAATAAATCTGTCTTATTCCTTGTTGTTGTTGTTGTTGTTGCTGCTGCTGCTCTGTTTGGCCTATCCTTCTTCCTGCATCTCCCTCTCCCTCTATCCCATAGAGCTTTCACACTTGCAGAAAACTCCTGGAAAAACTCCTGATACTCCAGGAGGAGCTGTATGTTTGAACACAAACAGCCATATATTTAACTCGGAATTTACCCGGAGCATCTCCTGCCAGCCCTCTACTCCTTTTCCCACAGCAAGTGATGTGCTGTGAGAGTGCAGCAGGATAAACATGACCAGCACTAAAGGCCTCTAATCATTAACTTAGGCTCCCCTTTGAGTGAGCTATTCTAATGCTCATCTGTACATTGTGTGCCCGTGGTTGGTTTCATACTATGGTGTCACCACTGATTGACTGCAGGTACATTAGACTACTACTAAGAAACAACAAAGGACGGTTTTTGATATGTATGGAAAAGTCCAAAACCATAATGAAGAACATTTGACAGAATATTCAGAATAACTGCATCACAGACATGTTTCCACTTGGTGTTTCCTCCTCTTGTAAAAATGCCAGTTAACATGTAAAGGATTGTTTGTTTTCAGACAGTCCATTGACTCTCTCTATTTTTTTCTCTCCTCTTGTTGCAGCCATCAAGGTGAACTGTCAGGGCTCGTGTGGGATCTCCAACAAAGTGAACGACAACTCATGGACTCTGGAGGAGCAGTACTTCAACAGCACACTGTCGGTTGCTGACAAAGGTAAAGACATCAGAAGCTTGAAGCTTTCCTGCTGCTTCAACGTGCGGTTGCATTTATTGAGTCCTTAACAGGCTTTAACTCTCAGGCAGTTTTGTACACAAGCTGAACAAACTCAAACTAACAGGCCTCTAATCCAGAAAGTTTTTACTTGATTTACAGTCTTAACATAAAAAGTACAATTTGAAAATCCTTTCTGTATTAACAAACTACATTTGGGGGTTACAGGTTTTAAATGTATATGCTGTAAAACAAGATTCACACATATTTATAGTTATTGTGTATATTTGGCTTAAAGGCCACTGATTTCCTTGACAGTAAGATAGAAATTTAAATTCACTCTAACTGACTTGCCTTAAGGTAAGAAAACACTCACAAAAGAATCCAAAACTGAGCATCATTTATTAGTCACCAGGAGAACTATGTCATTTGGTTTGCTGGTGTGGCTAACATGAGCAGTACTAGCATCGCCATCCTTCGCTCCTCCCTCCTGAATGTCCACATGTCTGTGTCTCCGGTTGATATTAAAGTTTAACTGAAATACATTTTTATACTTGTTTTCTGGATCAAAATGTGGCCATACCATGCTGTTCCCTACAAGAGGCTATCCGTTCACTATGCTTGTTTACATCTGGGTAGTAGAGCAGGGAGAGCAGGCCCATTAACCAGAGCTACAGCAAGTCTATGGCTATTGGGAGTGTGTGCTTTAGAGTTGCAGCATAACATTTGACCGGCATCAATATTAACAATTTGTATAACCAACGAGTACTTCTGGTACTGGAGGATGATGTTTAACCATTAAGTCAACCAAACACACAGATTTCTAGAAATAGGTTTTCTAATTTTCCAGGCAGCAGATCTTCTATCATATTTGAAAATACTTTTTAGACTTTTACCACTGAGATAATTCATATATTATATATTACACTGAATGGAAACCAATTACTTTTTAAAGATTTTTTTTTTTGGGCTTTTCGTGCCTTTAATGCAGAGAGAGGACAGTGGATAGAGTTGGAAACCAGGGAGAGAGAGCGGGGAATGACATGCGGAAGGGGGCCATGGGTGGAAGTGAACCCTGGGCCTACCGCTGACGAGAGTCTCAATACATGGGACGCGCGCCCTAACCATTGCGCCAGCACGCCCTGAAATGAAATACTTTTCAGCAGAATTGTCTAACACTATGAAATGGAATTGTTCTAAAATAATAAAACAACACATCCCACACAGCACATCGGGGGCATGAGACTGTTATTCCTCTCCCATGAGAGGACTGAAGTGTCAGGGCCTCGATATCTCTGCCATAACAAAAAGTACGAGGTGTCTGAAGCCTTTCACCAAATTTGGTTCATGGGAAATCTGCAGCAAAAGGCTTAATCTCCGAGTGGAAGCAGCAGGTTTTTGCAGCCCTGTGGTAAGGAGCTAAAGCCTCAATCAGTCAGAGTAGTGGTCCCCTGCAGGGAGGGGATGTACCAGCCTCTCTGCATGCTGCCTCCCAGAGGCACATGGTCATTGGTGTCAGCCTCTGTCTGGTAAGAAGGTTGGACAAGCACCACCGAGGACAAGTTTAATGATTTTCCTCCTGGTCTCTTGGTACCATCTTGCTCTGCTGCATCTAGGCCCCCGCTCACCCGCAGAAAGCTTACACAGCCTTTTGTTGTGAGCGTGATCTTCCATCTTTTGTGTGTGCTGCCGATACCGCCCACGGCCAGAAGGTGAAATGTGCTGTTCATGCATGAAATCTGTTGTAAAATGCAAATGACATAGTTGAACTTAATGGCAGTCACTGAAGCATTTAATCCATGCCAAGAAGGAGTCTGATGTTTAACTCTCAGTATTGTACAGTATGTGCTTCAGTATGTTGAGCTTCAAGGTTTTCAGTCCCTCTCTCTCTGTTCTGTTACCTCCACCGCTGCCCTGCACCTGTACTGGGCTAACACTTTCAGTCCCACTAACATCTTCCTGCAGGCTCCCACAGTATGAGTTAAAGATATTATCTCATCACTCCTCAACTTTCTGCATGTTTAACACATCTGCGAGGAGTGATGAGTTCAGGGCCTAGTTGTCAAACACAAACATTGTTCTGTTGCTGCAGTAAAGATTTCAAACAACTACATGTGAAAAACGAGCTCTTTAGCGGCCAAACATATTTAGTATTTTGACCTGATAGTTGCTTACTGTCTGTCTGTTGTTGGTTGAATCTAAAATGTATTGCTCTGTAATATTGTGTTACATGTCTTACTGTAACATCCGGCTCTCCGGAGAGACTGAGGGCTTCCCCCCTTTATGTTTCATCTTACATTCTTATAATGAGCATATTGTTATTACTAGAACAACGTAATTTTACATGATTTACCTCAGTTAACGTGAGAGTAAGTAGGACTATTTTTGGATAAGATACCCGACAAAAAAGTGAAGACAAAGCTTCAAAAGCACAGAGTTCTCAAACTTAGCAAACATGAACATCCAAAAACTTATGGTGAATAATAAGAGAAATGGAAAATAGAACTAGTATCAAGATATTTAACCAGATTTAAAATATAGTATGGACAACAGAGGCCTTGGAATAAGTGTAAAACATATTCACTCTTTCTATTTACACACACACACACACACACACACACACACACAGCTCACTCCAAACAGAGATATAAATAATTCATTACACATCCTCCCATGTGCTCTCCTTTATCTCTGCCATTTTTCCACATCCCATTCTTTTCCGAAAATGGGCTGCTCTGCCCGAAGGGACGAGCGGCACAGGGAGTGCGAGACGAGGTGACAGACCACACACACACACACACACACACACACACACACACACACACACACACACACACACACACACACACTCTAACACAAAGCAAGCATTGCTCACTCTGGCTGACTGATAATGTGGTATGCTACAGATGCTTGACGGTTGGTGGGGCGAGGAACAGTGATGTCAGCGTCTGCTCTTCATCCCGTCTCTTTTCTGTGTTAATGACCTTCAGAAAACGAGGATCTTCCTCCCACGCTGTAGTTTGATGGTGGTTACCCTGGAGACCTGGTTTACAAACTGACAGCTTTATTTTATGATCGGGCTGGAGACAGACTCACTGTAGCATACTTTTATATATATATAATGAACTCTGACTGACAACAGACTACGTGAGGTCTTATATAGGTCATCTTGCTATCTTATCAGACAAGATAATATAAGTGAATTACTGTTGTAGCAGCCATGATGCAACTTGAACGATTGCATTCACAAGTTTCGCATGTTTTTCTCACTTTGGTGTGTTCATGACCTGAAAGCTGTTACGTGGCAGCAACATGGACCCTCCCAAGAAGACGTGTTATATTTTACTGCTGAGAGCTTTTAAACAAAGCTTCTATTTGTATTTGGTGTTTTTTTGGTAGATTTTGTCTCAGACTTGTTGCTGCATCTGAAAACTCCCTAAAGCGACTCAAATGTATCTCACCTGACTAATAATGAGTGTTCATTACTTTTCTCTCTAATCTACACTTCTGTTTGTTGACAGTTTTTAAATGTTACAATCCTTATACCATATTTCATGTCACGATTTCATGTGAGGTCTTTCTTTAATCTGAGTTGTTTTTTTTCTTTTCAAACTCAAAGGGTCACTTTACATTTTGGGAACAGTTTTTCAATAGTTGTTTTACCACTTGAATGCAGGGTCAGTCAAGCTGATGTAGTTAAACTTGTGAGGCTTGAACTAAAACTGATAGATTTTGAGAGCAGAGTACAGCTGAGGGTTGAGCATGTTTATGTATCTTGGCTGTAATCAGACAGTATGCATGATTTGTAATGAAGCTTGTGGAACAGAACGTGAAAATTATAGAATCACTTCAGCTCTCTCAGCTGATTTAGGGAACCCAATATATTTCACTGTGTTACAAAAGTGGACATTGTGACTTAATGACGTACTATATTAAAGTAGTGTGGGGGGTGGGCATCTGTGGCTCAGTTGGTAGAGTCATTGCCTCTCAACCAGAAGATTGAGGGTTCAATCCCCACCTGAGCAACATGTCCAATGTGTCCTTGGGCAAGACTCTTAACCCTGAATTGCTCCCGCTGCTTCAGTGGTGGTGTATGAATGGATTAGTTACTTCTGATGGATGATACTACATAGAGATCATCACTACCATCAGTGTGTGAATGGGTGGGTGTGACATGTGGTGTAAAAGCCACATGTCACAGCTTTGAATATTCGGAAGACTAGAGACGCGCTATATAAGCTCAAGTCCATTTACTTAACCTCAGGTTAACCCATAGCCTGCTATGGTTCTGGTTGAGAGCATGACTGCTTCCTCTAGCAGTAAACATAATGCAAATGTACACACACACACACATTCTGAGTACTTCCCCTCAGGAAACTGAGACCAATGGAAAAAAAATGGGCTGGTCTCTATTGAGGTGAGACATGTTGCTGTCAAGAAGAATCTAATGGGGCTGTCAGCTCTCATGGAATTAATAACCCAACTGATTCAAGGTGTTCTCAGACTCAGGGGAACCAAAAGGCACTTTTTGCAACTTTTTTTTTTTTATGTATTCAACCAGGTTATTAACCTATTGAGATCAATAATTCTTTCATAAGTGTGACCTGTCCAAGAGGGCAGCAGCACACGTCATAATAACCATGAACCTTATGCTCAATGTGACTGACCTGAGAAGTGATATTATGTATAATATTTGCTGAACAGAATCAAATTAATGTGGCTAGAGAATCATTGAATGAGTTAGAAGATACTTTACAGGTTAATTTGACTTACAGGCATTAAGACAGTCCTGGAATAGATATGTTTTAAGATATTTGGGGCTTTGAGATATTTAAGAACTCTGTAAGATTGGGTTACAAAGCCTGTTGGACAATATCAGGAGGTAGTTTTTCTGGTAAACTGTCAAATTAAATGTATTGGTGGAGTACCGAGTCCTGCTGATGTCATCTAAACACTGCAAACATTATGTTAACCACACGGTATGTGAACAAGTGAGATAAAAGGGATTACAGTTCAGAGCTTTCTTCACATATTTCAAATGATAAACCTAACCAAGTTTAAACACCTCTTCATGCTTCAGACCACTTCCTGTTAAATCTTCAGGATGCCACTGATGTTTCCTGAAACACAGAGAGGCTTCTTTAGTTTGCTCTTTGTTAACAGATAACATCTGAAAAACAGTGTGCACACAGTTACTGTTGCTCTTCTGGAGGTTTCCTTCTTTGCAGTGCAGCTTGGTTGAACTCTATCCTGATGTGTATAAATATATTCTCATTCATTTAGCCTTTTTCTCCTTGCATTGTTCACCGATCAATCTGATTTAAAAATCAAATCCCACAATGAATGGATCCTACTAAGTATTGTATATGTGGGGTTAAGCTCAGTCAGTAGAGCAGGTGCTCTGTGTACAGTTTCTTAAAGTCTGTCACACGAGTTGCAGGGTCGACTCCTAGTCCTGATGCTAGCAGGTGCACATCATCTTGACGACTTTTCCTCCCCATTTTTCAACTCTTTCCCAAGCTGGCCTACCTAAAAAAAAAAAGGCAAAAAGAATATCCTAAAAGAATCCTAACCACAGAGATTCCTGCTGTAGATACTCACTAGCTCCCCAAATGTAAACAGTATCATTCTACAGCTTCAAATGTTCCAGAACAAAATCCACTTATTCAAAGTACCCAGCTGCTTTGTCAAATGGATCACGTATCTCTGACCACCATCTAAAGATTTCCATGCCACAGACGGGGTAGACGGCATGTATGAGTATCCAGAGCCTGATATGTCTGATTCCCCTGTGCCACAGAGCTCCATTGTTGTACCAAAACGATTAAAAACACATCAGTGAGACAAACTGTTGCCCTGGAGGAAATAACCCTTCATTATCACGAACACAGCCCAAAGACTTGCTGTAAATACTCACTAAAACACTTAATGAGGTTTGTATTGCAGCGTTAACACACCCTGAAAGATGAACTTTGGTTGAGCTGTGTAAACTTTAAGCTTCAGTATACAGCTGTTTTAGGAGATAATGCTCCCTTTTGAAAATTAATTAACTTTTCTGTGATCAGTTTATAGACATTGAAAACTCAGTGTTATGGTTTTGATACAAAAGAAGAAGAAAACTTATCCTTTCATGTGTTAGAGAAGTTTTTATACTGGGATGCTGATCCATAGTTGTTGTAACAGGGGACAAGAATGCACTCAGTCTTGGGTCGATCACTGCTGACCTCAATGGGCTTGTAAGTCATTGATTAACTTTCCTGTGAAACTTTGCCAGCTACACAATCAACAGTTTGTCCCTCTTTGTGACGCTGGTTCTTTGGTTTCGGTTGCAAGTTTTGTTCCCTTCAAAAGACTTCTCTCGGCTCAGCTGTCCGTCAACAGCCAACTCTGTTTGTCTCAGAAACTCCATCCCACTGGGAAAGTAGGTGACCCCCCCCCCCTCAGACTTCACCTGGAAATCTGACGTTTACTATTATGTGAAGCCTTAATAATAACCAGAACACAAACCCTGAGAGTTTTCATTATTTGTGCAGCTTTAAGTGTACTTTGCATTTTATCCGTTTTGCTCTAATGTGTAACTGATAAGTGTTCCTCTCTTACAGCATCTCTGGCAGCAGGCGAACACAGTTTCCCTTTCCAGTTTGTTATTCCAGGTGAGTGTGGGATTATTCATTACATGTCTTCCACCCTTATCCCTCCACGTCAGGGGGGCACACCCTCAGTTCCCGTAATAGTTTCCTAATGGATCTGTTTTATCAGAGCATGCAGGTTTGATAAGCTCTGAAAACGTGGAACTTTTCCAAGTGTGTGTACTTACAAAGTGTTCAGCCCAAAGCCCTTTGTCGTCAACACAATGCAGAGCTAATATAACGGGTGTGAAAGCTCATTGTTAAAGTTTGATAGATTGTGTGATAACCAGTCATTATTTCTCTTCCTAAACGTGGCTCAGTTGATTTTTCCTGATGAGCTGAACATACGTGGCACCTGTGAGGACACAGTGCTGCGTCTGTCTGGCATCTTCCCCTCTCTGAGGCGTGGGCGGGGGCACAGGAGGGGGGTGGTGGGGTTATTTTTAGTCCCCTCTCCGGTTGTGCAGTCACTGTTTAATTGGTCTTCATGCCCCCGTGCTTCGCCCTCCCCTCCCGTCAGGCCCTCAGAATGCAGAGCATCAGCACAGGGCATGTTACCTATCATGTAGCGATAAGGAGCTCATTGGAGGATCTTATGTCTCCTGCTGCCCCCTGCTGGTGAAGCAAATAGACTGAAATAATGGTATCTTTAAAAAGGACTTAAAGCAAACTCCTGAGCCAAATTGGATTGTAATAAAGGATTTTTTGTGAAGTTTTGATCCTAATGAACCAAAAATGTCAGCATCAAAACAAATAGAAAAATACTTTCAGTGATAAAGAATCTTAATTATTTGCTATGTTTGATTAAAATTCTACTTTTTGTGCTGAAATTTAATAAAAGCAGATATTTAATAGAATACAAAAAATCACAACTTTGCTTTGTAGTGAGCAGGTGAATTTTTTGTTTTGAGTTGCTAAAAAGTACCAGAGATGCACTGATTGGTCAAATCAGGCTGATACAAATATTGATGAAATAACAGCAATGATATTATGATATATTTAAAATTGTTGCTAGTATGTCTGCATGTCACTGATCTTTCCCAGAGACGGTGTACTCTGCCAACATTTTCTTTCACATTTGACCATGATAACAAATCACAGCTCGACCAGCAGGAGATTTAATCTGCTCTTAAAAAAAAAAGAAAAAAAGAAGTCATCTCTGAATCAGCTGATAGGGCAGATGTAGGACGATACCAATATTCAGCAGATGTATTGGTGCATCACTAAAAACTGCACTATAAAAAAATCCTGCAGTTGTACTAAATCCTTTTAAACTTCAGATTAAACTCCAAATAACCGCTTAGCTATTTAATGATCATGAATAAACAGAATCCCAAAGGCAAAACTCGCCTCCTGTCAGGTAGAATCTGCAAGAAATTTGATTTGAATCATGCAAGGAGTTACATGTTAATACACTTTAAGAGCATTCCTACACTGTGACTGAGAAAATTCAACTTTGTGGATTTTGTTGCACTGTAGCATTTTAATTTGGTCGCATTAGTTGTAGCTTGCTTTATTGAACACTTAACTGAGAGGATATTTGTTGAAAGGAAACGGAATTGTATCACCTGGAAAACGCAAAAAATATGGACAGGTAGTTGAGTAGCTGTAATGTTAGCTTGTTTTATAGCATAGTTCCAGTTATATGGTTTTGATTTCTATGATGGCAGAGAACCTTTATGTCTAACATTTTTAAATAAGTTAAAGGCAGGGTTGGTAATTTCTTCCAGATACACTTTTGAGATTTTGGTTGAAATTGTCTTTAGGTCCTGACAGAAATTAATAACTCATGTTCTGGACGAAGAAAATCTGACATCTGTAGCAGTAGTAAGCCTGTAAAAACTTTGACCAATGTCTGCCACGAGGTACCAATCTGATGAACCAATCAGATGCCTCCCCGTCTCCCTGCTTGTACTCTACCCTTTGCGTGCACTAGCCCACACTCAGAGGAAGAGGCGTGTCTTTTGAGGAAGCACAGAGGGGAGGGGGTAGGTGTAAACTGAGCACTGAGGGAATGCTACTTTCAAAATCATGCTAGTTTTTTTTAAATGACTAACCCTGCCTTTAATATAACCTCTACTGTATTGGTAAAATAATGACGTTTGACAAGGGAAGGGGGAGGATTTAGGATTAATAGCGCTGTGGGTCATCCTGCTGATGTTGCTCGTGATCTAGGAGACGGAGCTTTGGGTAATGTCATTGTTGTTGTTGTTTTTTTAATAAGCTCTACAGGGAAGTACTAAAATCAATTCTTACACAAGCAGAGCTCAGTTACCAGGATTTGAGTCATCAGCTGTTGTTGTGGCCCGATCATTTTTTACTGAGGGAACAAAGCAAAACAAAGAGCAGAGGAAGGAATAGGCTGAGATGAAGCACGGGGACACTTACAGGGATAAGAAGGGTTACATGGTGTTTGGCCTCATTCCAAAGGGACACCAGATATTAGTTCAGGAAGTGTTCAGAACAAAGGAGAACACAGATCATGAAGATGTGGTACATTCATTGAGCACTTTTAAACTTGTATGCTGTAGTTCATGAACGCCTGCATATCGTGTAAGCATCAGTGTTTCATACAAATTAAAACTGAACAACCAGTGAGCAGACACCCCCCCCCACACACACACACACACACACACACACACACACACACACACACATCTCCTATCTCTGTGTTGATGTTCTGAAATGAGGCTGTCAACTGTGATACATTTCAGAACATCAGTGCTGAGCTGGGACTCGGGTCTGGGATTTGGGGGGTGTTACTGGCTGCTTTGCTGGGATCAGGGAGGATACTGTCAGACAAAGTATGTGTGAAATGTTTGCTGCTTCAGCTGACAGCACAGAAATCAAACTGTGTGTTACCTTCAAACAAGTCCCCCCCTCACAACCCATTTACTTCCTCTTCTGTAGACCTCTGTGAAAAGGTTACTGCAAACGTCTTTCTTTAATTTGGATAAACAGGTACTTCACCAGTGTTTGAAAAGTATTTCAATACCAGCATTTGAATGTGTGAGGGAACAACACTGAGGTCATGCTGACAGCTCCGTGAGACCAATCAGCGTTTAGATTCCCTGACTAACATGAAATGCATCAAAATTGTCGATCCAACCTCGACTGTGAAAACTGGCATTTAAAAAGTTGTTTTCTTCTCATCGTCAGGACCGACTTATCAGAGCTTGCATTTCTACTTTTTACAAATCTCCTTCCTGTTGTTCATATTTCAGTAAACAAAAGATCTTAAAATTGTAATCGCTGACTTCAGTGGAATTACAGAAAAAATTGGCTTCCCTTGCCAGAGAGGCATATCTAGACGCTGATTGCAGATGGGTTCTGACATTTATAAACAACTGTTCTTCGTTACACAACCAACAGAACCCCCCTCTCCCTACTGGCCATTAAATAGAATGCAGGTTTAGGCACACTACAGATGTTAACCTTGTAGTGGCACCAGAGTGAATCAGCAGATTCATTTAAATGAATCATCTTGGGACTTTACTTGTGTAGCCTACTTTTGACTCTGGTGCCTTGACTTCTTATGACCTGCGAATCAAAGAGTGCTCACCATGATTCTAGGTGCAAATATCCATTATAAAAATGTAAAACATCAGGTCTTTATCTGAGCTTCAAAGAACAAGTGAGGAGACAGAATCCTGGGCTGCTCTCAGCAGCCATGTTCAGGTCTGATGTGTCTCCTTGTAGGTCAGCTTGGTGTTTGATTTTTTTTTTGCTTCAAAGCTGTCTCCAACCAAACAACAAGCTGCCACCTCTTGTGGTTAATTCATATTGACAGCAGCAGCAGACTCATGCTGGAGCAGCCGCTCGCCTTGCTGACGTTAACATCTGAATAAGGATCAGGAAAGAAAGGGGACACATTAGAAAAAAGGGGGCTCAGCATTTCTTTTGACTAAACATGAATCACTTTTTTTGTACATCCTGTTTGCACTGTTGTGCTTTTAGTAAATGTTTTCCTCTTTTCTGGCTTTGAACCTCTCTCTCTCTCTCTCTCTCTCTCTCTCTCTCTCTCTCTCTCTCTCTCTCTCTCTCTCTGTCTGTCTCTCTCTCTCTCTCTCTCTCTCTCTCTCTCTCCTTCTGTCCGTCTGGCTGCTTCCTCCCCAAATAGTTATTTTTATCTCGCTCTCCTTAAATTCCCTTCCCTGCAGCCTTTTTATCTGCCTGTTTCCTTGTCTTCTCTGCCCTTTCCTTTGGTCACACAAATAATTAGTGTCCTTCAGTTCAGGATGAGATGTACAGGAATCAATCTGAACGGTTCCTTACATCGTGTGACAGCTCGGATTGAGGCCTGCATGGAAGAGGACACAGACCTTAGTCCTCAGCCTTTCTGAAAAAGATATCAGATCAAATTACATTTCAACCTGATTTATTATCTTTTTTAGCTTCGCATGACGGACATCTTTTGTTAATGTCTAATTGAAAATTGTCAGAGCTTCTGGTGCAAAAATACAAATATGCATATAAATGTACCAGTGTGAATCTGTGTTGGATGGTTGAACTATAGTTTATTATATATCCTCATTATGTATTAATATGGGTTATTATCAGGTTTTGCATTACTCACATTCACATCCAAATCATGTACACTTGTTTACCTTTTGATCAAACATCAAGTTTTTGGCTTTCAGAAGTTCTCATGTAAATTTACTTCAGATCTCAGTGACTATCTTCAGTATCAGTGTAATGTCTGTTTTGTCTTCTTGCCTCTGTCCTTCCTTCCCCACAGTCGCCGCCCCGACTTCCTTTGAAGGCCCCTTTGGCAAAATTGTTTACCGTGTGAGGGCGGCCATCGACACGCCTCGCTTCTCTAAGGACTACAAAGCCCAGAGGCCCTTCTACCTACTCAATCTGCTCAACCTCAATGAGGTGCCTGACATTGAGGTCAGTGTTTCTTAATCTCTGCCAACATAACTTAAACGTTTCTGTTCAGTTCGCTGTGTAAACCTGGGAGTAAGAAAAGTTGTTCACAAAGAAGCCGAAGGGGAGGATTGGAATTGAAAGTCAGCATCATTCACTCTCTTCCTGTCATGACTTTTAGAGTCTCCTAAATCTTTGGAAGAGAGTATAAACCATGTTTAGCGCAGCACCAGCTAATGATGCTCTGAGATTTTCTGAATTCAAACTTTCATACCACTGCTCTGTCTCCATAGCAATTGAGTTATGCTGTGACCACTAAGAAGTTCAGCTACCTCCTGGTGAAGACGGGGACGCTGATGTTGAAAGCTCACAGCGACCTCAGGGGTTACATCCCCGGACAGGTCATCAAGTTAGCCACTGAGATCCACAACAAGTCTGGGAAGGACACAGGATGTGTACTGGCCAGTCTCATACAGGTAAACAATCGAAAATAATAAGAAAAGGTGTGTTTGGACCTCAAGCAAAGCAATGTTTTTGCATGGTGTATTTGATACAAAGTCAATGCAAAGAACTGTGTAAGTAGAAAATTGGTTAATTTGCATGTCTGTGCAAATAAAAAGCAAGAAATGAGATGGACGTTTTGTAAAAATAGCATCTACATTATTCTGCCATTCTACATTTGTATAAATGGTTCAATGCCCATAAAAATCTTATTTTTTCAAATCTTTCTTTCTTTTTTTTCTGGCAGACAGACCTCACAAACTTTTTGAATGAATGCTTGTTGCAAATTTTTTATTTTTTTTATTTTTTATTTTTATCACAGCAAATGTCTTTATACATTGGGTTCATACCACTGTAGTTCGCTAGATTACAGCTGTTAAGCGCCTTGCTGGAAACAGTAAAATTTCCTCCCATCTATGACTGATGGAAAGGCTCTCCACAGCTAAAATAAAACACTGGTGGTGGCTTTTTTGAGAAATCTTGGTACCAAGCCGAGAGAATAATATAACAGGTAAAGTAACAAAACTGGGCAATCAATGTGGCTGCAAGCGAAAGTAACGCTAATTTAGACACGGTCAAGTGATAAAGTAAAATGATCAGAGCTGGATGCCTCTGTGGATGATGTTACGAACCCCATAATAAAAGTGTTAAATTTAACCACATATCATTAATACTAAAGGAAACAGGAACTTAAATAAACATTAAGGCCTAAAACATAACCATTCACAGAACTATACCTCAAGATAACTGTAATGGAGGTTTACCTGATCTGTTGTCTTTAAATAATCAATAGGTTGGTAAAGTAGTTGGGTGTAACTATTCAAACTTCTTGTTCACACAGAAAGTGACCTATAAGACCAAGCGGCCTGTGTTCGACCTGCGGACTATCGCTGAGGTGGAGGGAGCCGGGGTGAAAGCAGGAAAACACGCAGAGTGGAGGGAGCAGATCATCGTCCCTCCTCTTCCTCAGTCAGCGCTGGCCGGCTGCAGCCTCATAGATATCGACTATTTCATTCAGGTCAGTGAGTGTTCTGTTTCGTATTTGAATATAGACACATCTCTCCTTCTTTTCTGCAGTTCTTTATCATTCAAATACGCATATCATATTGAAAGGAGAACACTGTGTAATGGTTTTGTTGCGCTGACCGCTCCCTCCTCCCTAGAGTAGATGCTCTGGTGGGTTGCCATGTCGTGGACATTGAAGCTTCAGCGTTTAGCCAGCTCTGAATCGTTCTTAAAACCTTTCTGCATTCTAACCTCTCTCCATTTGTAAAAAAGCATCTTGAATATTATCTAAAAATAGCGCTGAATAATCGTGAACTGTGCTCTCTTAATAAATCCTGTTTGTGTTCCAGGTGTCACTAAAGTCTCCAGACGCAGTCGTCACTCTTCCCATCTACATCGGGAACATTGCTGTGAACTTGTCTCCATCAAGACCCATCCCTTCCAGAGTGACCCCTGCGCCCAGGGCGGCAGGGGTGACACCCAGCGCCCCACCGGCAGAGGAGGACCCAGAGGAGGGGCTGTGTGCAGGGGGCGTGGCCAGTGAGGAGATTCCCACAAAGAGTCACTCCCAGCAGGACCCCTCAGGACAGCCGGTCACCATGTCCCCCAGCGCCTTCAGCCACGCACCCGGAGCAGCCCTGCCTCCAAGCCACAGGCAGCCTGACACCTCCGCCCCCTTGTTCTGTGTGTCCACCGGGGCCACCATACCTTTCTTCACTGAGGGAGATGTGACTCCTGTGCCCACTTCGTGCTCTCTCATCCTCCCTCCAGAGTACAGCAGCTGGGACTATCCTCATGGTGAGTTCTTTAAGAATCTCTGACACACAGACAAAGACATGCATTGATCTATTTAGGGGAGCACAAGATCCTAGTTTGGTAAAATAGTGAATTAAATACATCTTGAAGGCTTTATATGTGATTTTTCACTCTTAAATATAATAGAAATCAAGTATATCCTCTGAAAATAACTGTGTGAGTCATGACTGTCTACAATGGGTGTAACACCCAAGTCCCACTGTCTGTGATGTTTTCAGAGTTTTCAGAGTCCTATCTTCAGTTTGTTTACATCGCCAGGACAGCCGGCTGACTCCTCCCCTCGTGTATAAAAGTTGTTTAATTGAGGGACTAGAGAAAAGAAGAATAACATACTGTACTCACTGCTTAACTGTGTTTCTAGATCACGCTCATTTCAGGTAAATTTACATGCAGTGTGAAGATACCAGCATAATAAAGATTGCTAGCATTAGCATGCTAACACAACAATGCACCACTAGTTGTTTTGGTTTCATGCTGGTGCTCGACACCTGCTGGATCAAAAAATCACATATAAAGCCTTTAAGTGTAGGTTGCCCTAACAACAGGAAGTAATCTTACAATCACAACCATTTCCAGTTCTAATAAAATAATATCACACCAGAGCTTTCGGTACAAAGTTATATCTCTATTACAGATAACCGGATGAAGTACCTGTAAATCCTAAAAATTCAAAAAATGCAGCTTTCTAATGGTGCAAATACTTGAATTTCTTTTGGGGAATAAGGCATGTAGATAAAAGAAAGCAAAGTGTTTACTGTGTGAAACAAAGTGACCTTGAGGTTGCTGTTTGAAGAGTGCACGACCTTTGTCTTTGTCTGAAGTCTTCTTGAGGGAAGGCAGCTGAAGTTGCAGAGTGATGCTGTACACACTATGTTACTGTGAGGGATATTGTATGAAAACAAATCACGGTTAGCCATGACAGTCATTTACAGCTTTTACATTTTGAAAGAAAGTAAGTGATGGATGACCTCAAACTGTAAGTGCCCATGTGATAAAGCATCTCGTCCTTTTTACTGTATATGAAATGGCGCTGTACTGTAACCATGGAGACTTTAACTAACTGTGATGTAAGCTGCTTCATTTTCAGGGTTCATGGTTCAGTGCTGCACTGGTTTGGTTTACTGGGACACTTTAATGGATCCATTGTACAAGAACACTTGTTTACTTACAGTGATGAGGTCACATTTGTGTTGTGAAAAAGACCTTCACTTCTGCTTTATAAAGTAGGATGGAGAGAGACTGGTGGAAACAAAAGGTGAGAACTTTACATTTTAAACTTTATTATTTGTCTTTGTGTGTTACAGAGCCCCCACCAACTTATGAAGAAAGCTGCAGTAGCGCCAACTCTTCTTTCAACAGTAGACAGTGAAAAAGAAGCACCATGGCCACACCCACTCACACCTGACGGAACTCGCCTCTCAACCAATCAGGACGGAGACACGCTGGGTTTAGGAGGATGGACCATAACTCCACCTCAGGACTTCCCAAAGACTGTTTCTTTGTCCTCTAATAAGTGAAAAAGGGATCCTATCTTATATTGAGTATAAGTTTGAGTTTCACCTCCTGTCCCAACGCTGTGTCAGACAGAGAGGCTGAACATCACTGTGCCTAAAGGATGTGTGTTGGATCATCATAGAGCATTTACAACTCTCAGAGTGGGTTTGTTTTTTTCATGGGGCAGGTTTAAATCTGTTCACCTTTGTTTCCTTTTTTCTGTGACTTTTTGCATCTGGGATGCCTTGAAAAAGATTTTGGCCTCCTGAAGGCTCCTGTTTGAGGAGATCAGACATTTAGGCCTTTTTTTGCAGTCCGATTGTGCACTTGTTATTGTGTCCACTTCTGTCTGCTTGTGTCTCAAGTTGTCCTCACCGTCAGCAGGGCAGAGCTGTCGTCACGCTGGATATTTTAAGGAGATTGGCTGAAATTGTGATTTGTCTGTAAAGCAAGTTAGTCCTGTGTGCAGGATTTCTCTGTAGTATATTAATATTATATTAATATAATATATAATATAATATTGTAATGACCTTTAGATGTTTTAATCACAAAAAAAGTCTCTAAGTGAGCATAATTAAACTGACAAGTCATTAAATCACAAAGCTTAGAATGAGCAAGGTTTGGGGAAAAACTAGGAAAGACAATCATTCAAAAAAGTTTACAAGTATTAAGAAAATAAGTTAAAATTACATGTAATTTTAAAGGACTTGTCCTCAGATACATTTACTTTAAGAATAATTTAGAATGGATCACCGATGCTTTATTTTTAAGAAAATGTGACAATGCCTTTCAAAAGAATCTGCATACACTGTAGGCTAGTAGCATGCTTTCCTGCAATTGTCTTTTAATTCTACCAGTCAGAAATAATGTGATCTTACACACAGGGGCTTTAAAGACAAATAATATCAGAGCAACACCTCTCAGTTGTGTAATGCAAGTAGCTTTTAAAACATTGTTTCATCAGCTCAAAAAATAATGAGTTATTTAATATGTAATAAATATTCTTTCAATGTTGAGAACATTTAAACTATCTTAGATAAGTTACATATCATCTCTGCACCACCTCCCATTTCTGGCTCATACAGCTGAGAGGTTTTTGCTTTGACAGGTTTGGTATTCAGAGGACGGTGTGACTGCAGATGAGGCTCATTATCCTGCAGCTGCACATGAGGACTGCAACGCTGACGCCCTCTTGTGGTCATCGCTGGTACAGGTTTGATCTCCACTTGTCTGAAGCTGGAGCTCACTAAACTACTTCACTGAGTCTGTGCTTCTGAGATGCACGGACTGAGGTCGGCTGTATGTTCATACATCGCATTTTCTCACAACGGACAAATTGAGATCTGAGATGAGTGTTTTCTAGTCTCAGTCTGAATGAGATTGTTTTTCTCCTGTTTGTTGCCTTAACTTTCTTTGAGTGTAACATTAGTGAGATGAGAATCCTCTGACTTTTCAGTCAGTGCAGATGATAAACATACATTTGCACAACGCAGCACTTTTAACCATTTGAGTGCATGGGTTTCTTTGTGCACGTGTATAATACGTGTGTGTGTGTGTGTGTGTGTGTGTGTGTGTGTGTGTGTGTGTGTGTGTGTGTGTGTGTGTGTGTGTGTGTGTGTGTGTGTGTGTGTGTGTGTGTGTGTGTGTGTGTGTGTGTGTGTGTGTGTGTGTGTGTGTGTGTGTGTGTCTTTAAAAAGAGCTAATTAGGACAAAATGTTGAGTTCCCTGCGTTCTGTTTTTACTCAAATTCCATTGTTTTTTTAATCAGCATGTGATAAATTAGCTTTGGGACATTTGTGAACAGGTGCATGGTGATCATATTTTGATCAGATGTTACATTATTCCCACATTTATTTGATCATCCTTAAACTGCAAAACTCACAAAATTAATCATTGAAGTTTTTGATTTATACACAAAAGAAGAGTTTGTATCATGAGGTTTATAAAAGTTTTTCTTTTTTTTTAAAGTTCATGGCTTTGAAAATTAGTTTGGGATGAGTTTGATAAGTTTTATACCTAATTTTGCAAACATTTGTCATCTGGTGTCATATTCTAGTGGCAGAAAATATCTTTGTTTATATTAAATTATGTGAACCACATCACCCAGTTCTGCTGCATGTGTTGTGAAAGCAGCAGCACAAACTCATTATCTCTCCTCTATGGGGAACTAATGCCACTGGGAATCCTGAGCACAACTGCTGTATTTGAAGTTTGTATGACTACTGATAATGTTGGTCCTATTTTACCACAACCCATTCTGTGAATTAAAAAAAAAAGCATTGCTAGTGTCGGCTTCTGACTCTCAATCACGTTTGTATGTTTTACCCAGAATGTGTTTGTTTTTCTTCTGTTTTTTTGTTTTTACAGAGAAACTGATTTTACTGTTGACATTCACTCAAACTACCATACTCTGGCTCGACATTATTGTAAATGCATGCCTTAAACCATCTGAAATCCTGCAACGGCATTCAGGAGCCTGTGATGGACTTCATTCTGATCCACTGGGGATGATGTCAGGATGTGCAGGTGCTGACCTTCCTGATTTCTTCTCCTGTGGACTGTGGCTAACGCAAATGTAGCTTCTAAAAACAGTGAGAACGCTGGACCTTAGACCTGTTGAACTTTGTATTTTTTTTGTAGAAAATATGTGCAATTCCTCTCGTTTCCAAGAACCCTGCAGCAGCTCCCTGAAGTCATCTCACTCTGCCTTTTTTGCATCCAGTTCTGTTGAATTTTCTCCACCTAAAGGTACTATAGCTTTATGAAGCCTCACTTGTTCTGTGTCATTCTTTCTCCCTCACACATTGATGAGTGGTGTCTGGTTTTGTATTTTTCTACTTGTAAACCGTTTACAGGTGCAGTATGCAGATACTAATAGTAGCACCTCAATCAGTAAATGTAATATTTCAACTTACATTCCAAATTTAAAGTTTTACTGTACAGTATAACAATAAAAGTATATGACATGTGTCTGTTGTTTATATGGATAGAAACAAATTGTGCTCCTGACACTGTGGCTCAGTGTTAGAGTCATGTCTCCACTGGAAGGTTGAAGGTTCGATCCCCAGCCAATGTAGTCACATGCCTACTTAAGAGAAAACATTAAAACAGAGGAAATCATGTTGACAAAATAATTAGAGCTGGATTTAAGTGTAGCCTATATAGGCATATCTCATTTGGAAAAAAAATGTGGGTAAACTGCAGGAATCGCCAAAGAAAGTGAATGGTGAGAAAATTCAGAGCTGTCCTTAAATCTGCATGTTCAAAAATACAGAGGATAAAGGTTATAATAAGGGGTAAAAGGTTGTTTCCATGGTGACACAAATCAAAATAAGACTTGGATATATATGCTATGTTTGTTGATGCAGAAAGATGCAGTTGCAGCAAATCACATTAAACAGGGAGACATGAAATAGGAGTTACTAAATTAATATCCCTTCTTACAAAGCGGCAACAGCAATTTGGTTATAGGACATCCCCAAATATTAGAAATCTATATCTTCTAACCAATTTAAAAATGTGCCTCAAGTAGGCCTATTCACCATTAACTAGTCAAGAAAAATAGATTATGTTTCAGAGGCGTATCAAATTATTAACTCTAAAAAAAACATTTGAAGTTGTCATGATGCTTTAAGCCTGAAGGCTCACTTTGTCGAGTAGGGCTACATTATTTTTTACAGCGTAGGGAGAATATATATACTTCGGCTGCCTTCGCCTGTCACGTGACCCAAGATTTATCCCGGAGGAATTTGATGCGCATGCGTACCTTTGTCTGTTACATTTGTAGGCTCAAATAAGCAACATTATTACGGGTTAAACACACATTTACAATGTCTGTTCCCGACTTTATCGACATCGACGATAACATGTGAGTGTCCGGACGACTTCAACTCGGCTTGAAAGAACATTTAGTCGCTCTCTCTTTTTGTTCCGTGTCGCTTATGAACTCCACTTACCGTGAGCCCTCTGTTTATTGTTTAAAGTCATGAGGTAGCCTCGCACGGTAGCCTCCTACTTTCCGCAGCGTTGACTGAAGAAGCTGGGTCACTTTACAAATGGGACCCACTTGACTTGACTTCAACAACTGGAGCCCGGGTCACTTTGGGAATGGAGAAGTGTGGTCTGTAATTACACAAACTGTGGTGTTAGCCTGCGCTCAGGAGTTCACCATGATGTCCGTAAGTTGTGTTTCTGTACTCTGTTGCACTCTCTAATATAATGTGTGTTGCTTAAACCCGTTGTTTTTGCATTTGAACTATTCTCTGAATGTCAAGTCTGGCAATGAGATACCCGGTGTTTGCAAAACGTGATACAGAGAGAGAGAGGGATAAGGTCACTACACATTGGCACATTTAAAAGACATGTGAAACACTTTGTTCTAAAAGGCTAAGCAATATGTCCTTACATTTTCCAATGAAGTAACTGCTGTTTAGAAACTTATAATATATTTTTCATTCCATTCAAGTAGCCTTACATTTGAGTATAGTGTATTAGAGACATTTTCGTGAAATTGTACTGCATGCTGCATTTATTAGAGACATGCATTGTGACTAATAGGGTACAAATGATGTAGTAGCCTATATAAAATGTATTCAGCTTTTCTGTGTGTCAGTGTGTGTCAGTGTGTGTGTATATTCTAATGTTTCAATCAGGTTTTTAATGCATGAATGCAAACATGCACTTTCGTTGATCTTAATCTGTATTTTTATTTTGAAGGGGTTTTTTGTAAAACATGAGACCAGATGATGTAATGTAACGCTTCCGCTACTATTTTCAGCGTCCATGACAATTGAATTAAACTTGAATGCCTTAAGCAAAGTCCTTGTAAATGGGATGCATATGCTAACGATACAATGAATAACAAATTGGATCTGGCAGGTGTGAAAAAACCTGCAAACACCATGTGGGCTAGAGTAAGCAAACACCCTGATGGAGTGTTTTTGAAATGTACAGACTGTGACTGTAGCAGACGCACTGCTCTCACAGTTTGTGGTCACAACACTCTGCACCTAGAACACTAGCACTGTATCTGGTTTCCTCAAGCAGCTTAGACGATAAGCTCTCAATGATCACCTTGCCTGGCCTTCAGTTGGATTGTTGACGCTCATTGTCTAAATTTGACTTTCCCTGAGATGTTTTCAAGCTGCCTCAAAAACGTCTGTCCTCCGACACTGATACCACTCATATTTAGTCATGTCTCTTACTAACATGCACAACAGCTTTTCCTCATTTTCATCTCTCTCATTTCTCTTTTTTTTTAAAGCATAACTCATATCCAAGTCATCTTTTGGGGTTTGCTTGTCATTTTTAATAATCACATTTTGTTCACCATGGTTTCTGAACGCCAAGAAGTCATCATGAAACCTGACAAGTCAGACTGTCTTTAACACCATCAAGACAATCATGACAAACAGTTCTATCAAAACCCAAGCATTAATCACACTTTAACAGCCCAGTTCCCGATGTAATGAGAGAGAATTAATAGAATTGGGGGCTACAAAAAATTGAGATTCTTATCTTCTGAGATTTAAAATCGATTCATAACTTCCAAAAATGTAGAATCTTTTTGGCTAATCAGTCACTCTCTGCTAAGTGCTAATGCTAGCTCTTTAACTCAGTAGAATACCAAATAGAGCAACAAGACATTCAGCCAGTCTCACAGATGACTGGAGTAGATCCTGAAGTATGTACTTATTCAAATATAGAATCATGAATCCAGAAAACTTTTGAATCAAAAATTGATTCTGAATTGAATCATGAGACACCCAAAGATTCCCAGCCCTAGTAGTTACTGATATCATGCTGGCTGAACCGCTGGCTCAAATTGAACATCCTCTCTTATCAGATTTACAAATTTTTATAGTAAATGACAAGCGGACATTCTGGTTGATGCAGCGTTTGTGTTTGTGTGCCTCGTGACTGAAACAACTTGTTCAAACTAGCACAGCAAGGCCCGGACCTGCCACATTTTTAATACTCTTATGAAATGTCAAAAGAGGCGACCTCACCTCCTCAGATTGCTTTTCGTCATATCAACGTTACAATACCTCCATGAATTGATGTTGAGGAAGCAGCAAAGCAGCTTTCAAATCCATTGAAAGTCTTGAACTAGAGCAGTGAATCCCAAAGTGGGGCCATAAAGTTATCACAGGGGGACTGCGGCAAGGCCAAGAAATAAACAATACACACACATTTTGTGAGCGGACTTCCAGGTAAAGCAAACAATAAATCTACTCCAGACGTCACATATACTGAATCGAAGACAAGAAAACATGAGTCATATCTTGAAACACTGAGGTTAATATTCTGTATTTTTTGGTAGACAGTCTTTGAGATTAATTGTAAGTATGTAGGAGAGCTTGACTGACAGTGTGATGAGCATGGCAGAGACTGGGCACAGACTCACACACACACACATGCACACGCACACTCTGACACAAACAGTACATTCCTCTGTCAGTCACACATCTACAGCAGCCAGGCAGAACAGATGGTGGACAATGCTTTCTGTTATCTCGGGGCGAGGTCAGCTGAATGGAACTTTGTCAGGATTAGCGTTTAATTGAATTGAATTTAAGTCATTCAGAGATGATATAAAGAACAGAGGAGGTTTTTGTTGTTAACGTAGCATGGATTCTTTTTTTTTTTTTACAAGTAGTGTTAATAGAAAAAAAATGTTTCAGACATAAAATAAATCCTCTTTTATTGACAAAAAATGTGTTTAGAATTTTGTGTGTTTATAAAAATGTGTTTATAATGACTGGAGTGAGCTTTTATAATTTATATTTCTTGAAAGGTTTATTTTGGGGATTGTTCATGTGTTTTTAGAGAGAGGACAGGGGATACAGTGAGAAATCAGAGAGAGAGGGGGGGATGACATGCAGGAAAGGAGCCACAGGTTGGATTTTGATCAAGATGCTTTAGTTGTAAAGAAACAACTCTATTAAAGAATAACATGTCTGTAAAGTGTTTGCTCAGCTGTGACGCTCGATCACTGGAGCTGCAGACTGTGCTGACAGAATGTTAAATATAAAGATGGTGGGATGTTTGATGAACAAACACTTGAAGGGTAGTTATCAGGATAATGTGTCCTGTAAAAAAACATAAACCACATTAAAGAATATTACAAAAACATCGGCTGGTTCTAATTAAAGACGTGTGTGATTCGTCGATTAACAACGTCATCCTCGCTAGTCGACACCAGAAGTATTAGTCAGTCAAATGTATTATTAATGTTTTAGTAATTCAGGCCCACACACCAGCTAATTGGATGGATGGCATCCTGCAGCGCGGAGCCGTTTGGCACTATGTTTACATAAAGTTTTGTGTTTGGGCTGTGTCAGGTTAAACTGGAATATAACTATTACAATATGTAACCAGCACAGGTAGACCTTAACCTGCCAGGCCAACTGGAGGCTTGTGGAGCTAGCACTGCTAACGCCAGCCACAGTCTGCAAACCAATCTGTTAACCTGACGCTGTGATCCCGTGTCTAATCACGTTACTTAAATTGTGCTTAGTTTTGACTGTTTTGAGTTTGTTCCTCTCTCTCTACTAGTCAACTTGTCTGAATTTAAATTTATGTTTAATAGACAGGGAAATTAGTCACTGGTAACATCCCTTCTACTCGTATTTCTTGGATATGTCCATATTGGCTGATTATACAGGCAGATAATGATATCAGTCGACTGTACTTTTTAGTATTTTGAGGAAAGGAAAAAGAGTTAATTCAGCTTATATCAAAGGCTGAGATCAGTGTTTCTGCAACAATGAGTTCTGCATATGTTTTTAAGTCTAACCATCACAGAGTTGTGTAGAGGTGTTAATGATGTTCTTGTTTTTCTATAGATGACCTTTGAGCTGTCTGACAGCGTGACACTGCTGTTTGACTTCTGGGATGTGCAGGGACCTGGAGGTAGGCGCCAAATGTCAAACCAGCATCCTCACACAGACCAGCCCTTCGTACTGACAGACAGTAGTGGAAACTGGGAACCAGTTCATCTGCTTAAAACATACAGTGGTGTTATGTCTATAGACTTTACTGGTTCCTGATAACTCTGGAGATGTTTATTAAATGTCAGAGGTGAACATTAAGGCTTTCATTGTGAACGCAGCCACCGCTTCATCTGCATTAAAATAATGTGAAAGCATGTTCATTATGCCGAAGCTGAAGCTTCCACCTAATGGGTCAAATGTAAGCATGCTGCGTAGAAAAGCACGTTTTGTTTACATAAAATAATTTCTCTGATTTGTTGTGATACATCCAGACGTTAGATGGGTTTATTGCCAATGCTCACATCTCCATGAAGTTACTGAACCCTGCCAAGAAATAGTCCAGCACAGAACTTTGACCTTAGTCAACCTTTGTTTCTGCTCAGAAAAATACATGACATGTTAATAAGTGAGTTTGGGGGGGGGGGCTTGTAGTTGGATTCCTCTTTAAGCAGAGCCAGGTTAGCTGTTTCCACCAGTCTTTAAGCTCAGCTATGCTAACAGGCCTTTAGCTCTAGCTTTACATTTAGAGCGTGGATATGAATGATCTATCGCTCTTCTTATGTGACTGAAAATGTTTTTTTCTATTCTATACAAAGCATTCAGTCAGTGACACATTTCAGCTGAGTTACCGTCATGTGACCTTGTTTCTTCAGGTATGGTGCTTTCTGTGGTCGTGGTCTTCTTGCTGACCGTCTTCTACGAGCTGCTCAAAGTGTGGAGAGTGTGCCTGGGGGTGAAGTCTAAGATGGCCCAGCGTCAGGCCCTGTACGGCCACACTCCATCATCACGCTGCGACGACAACTCCATACTGGAGAGCAGCCCCTCAGCATCCTCGCTGACCCCTTTGGACTCTCATCCTTCTGATCCAAACAGATACAGGTCAGGCTCCTTATGAAAAAACAATACATCCAAGTAAACCTCATTAAGGAGAATTATAATTCCCCCCAAAAAATAATGGGAAGCTGACCCTAATCAAATGATCAATTGGAGGTTAGAAATTGGAACATGTACAAAGTCGAAGTATTCTAGACATAATTCCTAATGTATTCTTCATTGACTCTTTGTATGTAGTAATGCATGTTTAGGTTCAGGTGCACCACTGAAGTAACTCTGCAAAGCTTTACGTTGAAGCTGTGTGTGTGTGGTATGTGTGTTTATCAGTGTGCCTTCATTTCCTCTGAGTTTATTATTTCTCACACTCTGCAGTAGACGCATGCTAGACCGAACATTGACCTCAGTCTCTGTTCAATGGTTCACCACCTGTTCTGTCATAATGACTGAGCCCAAAACAATATGTTACCTAGGTCCTTGATTACATCATCACGATGTAAACGTCCTGACCTGAGTGTCCTCTCATAAACACACATAGATGTATGACACATTAATAATGTAAAAACAAAAATGTCTAAAACCATTGCAATATTATGTAAAACTAAAGAATTCCTGAATCAAAACTCACTGTATATATTGTATTGTGCACTCATACGTTGTGCGTTCCATACATTACCTGTGTGGAGGTATGGGGAAACGCATACAAAACCAACATTCATCCCATTTCCATGCTACAGAAAAAAGCTATAAGAATTGTAAATAGATCGGATTATTACGAACCAACTAACACTATTTATTAACATACACGCTTCAACATTCAGCGATCTAGTAGATCTAAAAACTGCTCAGATAATGTACAAGGCACACAATCATTTGCTTTCCAACAGTATTCAGAGGCTTTTTTAAACTAGAGAGCGCGGGTATGAACTAAGGGGAATAGGTGTGTATAAAAAACCAAAGGTAAGGACAAACTTGCACATAGCTCTGTATATATATATATTTATTTATTTCACTGTCCACTTATATCTACTCTTTTTATATTTTGTATTTTAAGTTTAAGTTGTATTTAAATTGACACTTTATATTTAGGTTAAAATGTTTCGTCTACTTGCACTGTTGTTAATTTACTGCTCTGTGTGCCTTTGAATTGCCCCCCGGTGACAAATAAAGTTTTTTTTGAATTTGAACATAAAGAACAGGTGTATTGGGTAAAAGGGGTTAACTTGTGGAATACTTATGATATGGAATTAAGAATGTGTCGTTCACTTTCCAGAATTTTTGTTTTAAAAAATGGTGTTTAACAAATTTAAAAGGTCGGTTTGATAATTTTTTGTGACTTCTGTGTTGTTCTGATATTTTCTGTTTGTTTTTTTTGTAACCAAACTAGTAAACAAACTACTGTAACAAGGGTAGGTGTGATAAGCTAAAGCTTCAGCCTACACCTTTTCGATCAAATTCTTTTTGTTTTTTTTCTTGTGACTGAAATAAATTATTAATACTACTACTATCATAACTCATGTATCCTCTCCTTCCTCAGCTTGCTGATGATGCACATTATCCAGACGGTGCTGCACTTGATGCAGGTGTCTCTGGGCTACATGGTGATGCTGTGCGTCATGTCCTACAACTTCTGGATCTTTCTCGGTGTCATCTTGGGCTCTACTCTCGGTTATTTCATCTCTTTCCCTCTCCTGGATCAGATCTGATGGCATGGAGGGTTCACACAGGATTCTGTAAAAAAGGAAACCTGTAGACTGACTGTTGTTCAGTTGGTCTTAGCGTGTGTTACAGAATGAGCCACACAACACTAACTGTCCAAAACGCAAACATCTGAATGTGTTGAGACACCAGGTTCTACGGCCTTCCTACGGTTTATGTATCAGGATTTGTTAACTCCGAAATGCTTCAATTGGACTTACAAAGTCCATTGTGAAAGGGACAAAACTCTGCTTCAAACGCAAAGTCTAACTTGTGCACTCGAGCAACACACGTGTGAAAATGGATTGTAGTCTCCAGGGGACGCAGCTTCTTTCAAATGTTTTTCAAATAAAATGAACAAAGCGGAGAACTGTGTTTGTAATGTTCCACAGCAGAGGTTCAGAAATGTTTAGTTTGGGAAATCACTCATGCATATAACCATTGTTTCTTTGTTTTTTTATTTCTGATCCCCAATGACAGAGCTTGTTAACCACTACACACTTCCCTGTATTTAACTCAACAGCTCACAGTGTTGTGACTCTGCAGATCAGTCAAAGATTGAAAGTGCAGCTTCACCTGAACACTCGATACGCTTCTGACACCTTCAAAGTGGAAATGAGCGAGTTAGATGTTGAGATATGTTTTTTCAGGGAGACAGAAGCAGACTTCCATTTAGGGCTGAGATTAAGATTAACTGGTCACAAGACTTTATTTAGATTCAGGAACTGGATCATATGATTGTAGCTTGTAAGGACTTTTCTTATGTGTCATCTTGGTTCACTAACTGATCAGTGTCGCTCTCACAATAATGTCAGGGGACAATGAGAGCTGATCATGTGGTCCTTTAGAAATCATTGACAGAACTACAAAGACAAATCACTTGAGTGCCTGGCCAACATTTTAGAAGTATTCATTACATAAAAGATGCCTTTCTACGCTTTAGGGACAAAGTATTTCTATGTCTGATTCTTATTATGATACATTTTCAAATCTTTCTCATCACTTTTTAAAAAACAAATATCAACATATCATCTTGAACAAAAATCGAGAACACAGTTGATGAACAAGCTTTATTCATCTGTGTTTTTCTTTGATGTAATTCAGGAAGAAAAAGAGCCAGATGAGGACAATATAGAAGCAGAAGCATGGTGGGAGTCAGTGGTCCTCCACTTTAATTAACAGCTCTAATGTTTGAATCTAAAGTTAAAGTGGGCTACTCGAATGTGCCGTTGAGGGAGTGATGAGGCGATTTCACAACAGGGAAGTGACTCCTCAAATGAGCAGGAATTGAAAATGTTTCATCAGCGTTTAAAATGACACTGCAGCTTTAGTCGGTCCACTAGAGATGTACAGTAACGGAGTCTAACTAATTTATCCGCTAGAATGAGTGACGCTGGGGACAAAATAATCTAATTAATTTCACAGGGTGCTCGTTTTTCTGGAAGTGATCAGTTTGTACTCACAAAGAGGTTCACTGACAAGGCTACTTGATTTGTACAAATTTCAATAAAAATGGAGATGTTAAAATATTGTTTCAACTGTATTTATGTGTATTTACACTCTACCCTTCCATACATGAATTAACCACATGGTGTTTTTGTGTACTCTGTATACAGACTTCTAATATTTCTTCTCCCTCTTAGAAAAAGGACACTTCCTCTTTTCCTCAGGCCTCTCCCCTTGTTTTCTGTTCCTGGTCAGATTTTTGTGTGAAGTTTTTCTTTTATTTGAAACATGGGTGCCTGAAGAGTCTCATTTTGGTGGAAGAGCTGAAACATGCATTAAAGTTTACAATACAATTTAAGAATGATCGTCTCAGATTATCCTGCACATTGTAGCACGTTAAGGATGTCTCTACAGAAAACTTCCTGCCAAATGAAGCTCCTTTAATATAAACACTTACCAAATATCTCCCAGGTAACTGTGGTTTAAGCCTAATATGTATTTACACACTGATACAGTACAGAGTTCAATATCTTCTTTTTATCATTAGTCAGTGCTGGATTCACAGAACACCTGCGTCTTCTTTATTTACAGACAAAATAACCAAATGTTTCCCACAGAATAATTTCATCTTATTGTTTTTTTCTGGTTAAATCTTTACACATAAGGATGTAGGAGTTCTGTAAAATTCAACTGGTCTGTTCACTTTGTATTAAGTTAGAAAAAATTAAGTTTCAGTTATATTCAGAATCAACATTTAGAATCTCACTCGTAATTACAAGTTCATCAACATCCTCAAGTTAAACTCTGGTTGATTGCAGATCTTGACCTTTGACCCACAGGCAAAGAGTGGGAAAAAAAAGTGTAATTTCATTTTATTTTTTTTGCATGGTAGTCAGTGACGATCAATGAAGCTCAATGATCAGATCACAATGAAAGTATAAAAGAGTCCTGTCAGGTTAAATATGTAGTTTTGAAACATAAAGGCCACTTGTACAGAAAATAATTAGGTCAACACACTTCATATCTTTAAAATTACAAAAATAGAAACCAGTATTTCTAAAAATAAATGTGAAAATGAGCGATGCATCGCCCCATGCAACATTTAAAGGTTGACTGTAGCGCCCCCTGCTGCTCAGAAAGAGAAATGCATTCACCTGCAGTAAAGTTAAAGGCACTATCCGTCATTTATTCAACTGTGTTGATGTGAGAAATCATTTCAAAATAAAGGCCTTGTTTTTTTGTTTATGTTTACAGACGGAGCTTGTGTAAACATAATATAATACAATTAAAACATGAATAACTTAGATTACATTATTTTGTGTTCCAGTTTAAAAAAAAATGTGATTATGACTTTAAATCCCCGGATCCTTGTGACAAAGCAGTGAAGTGATATTTTGAATACAGTGACATACATTATCAGAGGGAAGCTTTGAATAACTCGCATATAGAGAAACCTATCACCACAAAAATAGTCTTAAAGTAAAGATGGTTAAGAGTGTGCAATATGAACAACAATAAAGAGAAGGCAACACTTAAATAAAGTCCTTATCCATTCCACTTCTCTCCAACTACATGGGACGCGTCCTCGGCTGTTTTTTACACATTCTCCTGTAGTTTCAGAGTTCTGTTCAGAGGATCATCTTCCTACGCTACTGTCACCTCCACTTCTACTGGGTCGATGATTTTGTCCTCTCCGTTCACACCGTTTGTGAGTGGCTGAGGCTCACCTTCATCCAGACCCTCATTGGTCGGTGACTGGAAGCCGCTGTCGCCGTGTGAGCTCGAGTCTGTTGCTGACAGTGGCTTCGGCGACGACTCACTCCCTTCACTGTCGTCTTCCTGCGCCGCCATTTCCTTGATGGCGTTCTCGATGGCCGTTTCCTCCTGATGCTCCGGGTCGGCTTTCTTCTTCGTGCTTCCTTTCAGGTGCTGGAGAAGTGACTGCGCGGACGACTTGTCGCGCGGGGACTTCCTGGGGACGTCCTCCACTACGGTGGTCACATGTGTCACGTCCTCCTGCACCCCGTCCTCCATGGTGATGGTGCTGATGGTCGGCTCGGGCCCGTCGGCCTCTTTGCTCACGTTCTCCTCTGACTCGGGAACAGGAACCGCCATCTCCACCACCGGGTTGATCAGGTCTCTGATCTCGTTCACGCTGTCTGGAGACTTGGGATCATCAAGTGGGCCGAAGACCTCCTCCTCTTCCTCCTCCTCCTTCTCATCCTCATCATCCTCTTTGGCCTCAGACACTTCAGCATCCTCTTCTGGGATAAGATCCACCCCTGGGACCTCCAGACAGGACTCGTAGGCTAGAGGAACCCCATCCAGCTGGATCATGGACACCACCTGCCTGCGTCTGCTCACAGAGCCTCCTCCGTCAATCTTACCACCGCCACCTTCAGGTCCCTCTATCTCATCAACCCCAAATTTGGCGGCCCAGTCCACCTGAGAGTCTTCTCCGAGGAGGAGCATGTTGGGGTCGCTGTTGCTCAGAATGATGCTGTCCCTGTAGAGGTTGTGTCTCCTCTGGACAGCTGCCTCCTTCACAGCTAAAGAGGAAGACAAGGAAATCAATCATCAGTTTGTTAGACGATGGTGAAATACCCTTTGCTCACTTTTTCTTTTTTTTTGTCCTCACCCATCATAATGTCCTTAGAGACGGACTGCAGCACCACCTCCTCGAACATGTTTTCAACCAGCAGGAAACGGGAGAAGTCCTCAAAGATGAGCTCTTTGAAGCGAGGCAGCTCCTGCAGATGAGATGAGGTGAATAAAGTTCAATCAGTGAGTTGATTTCCCTGCACAACATTATCAACTTAGTGTATTTTCATTTCCTGATCTATTTTGTAGGAATACGTCCCTCTTGCTAAGTGCTCACTTGTGTTTTTTTAGTGGGCTAAAGTCTTAGTCACACTCATCCACTGGCAAGGATGTAGCTAACTGAAGGAGGAAGAGCAGCTGGGCTACAGTGCCTTTAACTATTGTGTTTATACTGTTGTGTCTTATTTGTGCTGCCACTACAAAAGAGCTGTTTAACTGCATTGTGTTGTTTTATAACCATGACAATTAAGATCTATTTTTTTACTCTAAGTAGAATAAAATTGACATTTGTGGGGGGGTTGATTATTATGTAAAATAAGTCAGAAGCAGAAGTTGAAAACACTAATGACAGTTTTCTTGCTTGTTCATTTGTTACTGTCATGGCTTTCTCACTCTGGCTCCCTCCTGATTGAGGTTCATTCCTTTTCGCCTGCTCAAACCTGCACACCAGCTCTCCATCTCCTCATCAACTCAGCAGTATATATACCCCAGCTCTCCATCTCCTCATCAACTCAGCAGTATATATACCCCGGCTCTCCATCTCCTCATCAACTCAGCAGTATATATACCCTGGCTCTCCATCCACTCATCGCCAGATCGTTGTATTAACTACTGTGGTAGACTACGGCTCAGGCTAAATTAAGATTTTGAAAAACCTTTGAAATTAATCTTTTGTGCTTGTTTTGGTTTTTGAGTCTCACCCTCTTTTTCCCTTTGCTTCTGGATCACCATTCACCCACCTGCCTTCCTGCTCAGCCATCTGTCTCAACCTGCTCTCTGGACTCAAAACTGTTCAGCCACACTCACACCCCTACTCTGCTCTGGTCAGCCTTCATCCCCTTCACTCTGCTAACCTCCAGAATCTTCAACCCATCTTCATCTCCATTTGCCACAATAAACCTCATTACCAATCAACCCCTCTGTTTATGTGTCCTGCATCTGGGTCCTAAATTCACTGGTCGTAACAGTTACATTTTATTTGTTGCAACATAAAAGCTCTATTTCTGCTTTGTGAGTGATATGGATTTATTATTATTTTTTCTTGGACCAAATAGATCTGTTGATGAGGTCTTTTAGAGACAAGGCTCGAGCAAACAAAGGTAAAGGTTGGGCGGTGGTCCGGTGTGGGACAGGCCTAATGGGTGTCTACATACAGTAAGTCACTGCTGTAATGCGTTGATTCCAAATGTTAAGTGTTTACGCTCCAAGACTGTTGAACAACCTTCCAGAGGGTCTGAGAGGAGCAGTCTGGCTTTAATATAGTGCTTTTTAGTTTTATGACTATAAGGTATTTATTTTGATCTTACTACAAGCTTCCATGTTTCTTTTGTGTATTCATTTTTATTATCTTGCTTTTATGTCTTGTCTTTTAATACTTTTTCCCCCATCCTTTTATTGTTATTTTATTAAATTCTTATTGGTGTGCATTAGTCTCTCAATGATTTTACAAACTACTTTTTCATCAATCACTTTTTCAGTGATATATGAATGATGTTTGATTGATTGATTGATTGAGGTGATGTGTGGCTGTGTTTGGTGCTACTCACAGATGAGAAGGATGGTGACAGCTGCTGCAGCATGTACGGGATGATGATCTGCAGGAGAGCCTCTCTGAAGAACTTCTTTCTCACTGTGCTGCTGTCATAATCATATTTCTGACCGAGGAAGAGAACAGAAACACATTCAGGCCTCATTTCAACTCGTCACTTCTCCCTACTTAATTATTAAAGGTAATACATTTTTGTGGATCATTCTTTACAAAAAGTACCTCAGTTTGTTTACACTTTTTGTTTAAAGTTTATGTGTTATTCTGATCAAAATGAGCTACAAATCATTATACCAATCATCTATCCTGCTTTGACCAACTTCACCATGTCCTTCAATCTTGTAGGTGGGTTTTCTTTACCTTGAGAACCCTCTCTTGGCATCGCTGGATGGTCTTGCACATGTCATCATCCCCCTGAGCCTCCAAAGACTGATTCAGCAGTTGCTCAAAGGTGTACACTGCGTTGTCCATTTGCTGTCAAACAAATATATTAAGTTTTATTTATTTTCATACAGAAGCAGAAGAAAACAACTGATGTTGGATGTGAAAGTAAACAACAGCTTGGCCTCAGATTTATCGTTACAGATTGTGATACTCATTTTGTCCAGCAGGTGTAACTAGAGATTTCACCACAGGCAGGACCACATCAGAAGGTGTTTTCATGCATTCTGACAAAGCTTGTGTACATGTTGATTTTTGTGTTACGTAAGAGAAA